TGTGTGTGTGTGTGTGTGTGTGCGCGTGCGCGCGCGTGGGTGTGTGTATGTGTATGTGTGTTTGTGTTTGTGTGTACATGTGTGTATCTGCTTTTGTTGTTGTGTGGACACGCATGTAGATCTAGGTGTGCGCGTGTACGTGGACGTGTGCGTCAAGTCCCATGAATCACGAATGGTCCCTTTCGCCCAACATCTCCTGTATATTATTGTGAAGAATCCTGACGCACGTGTGGTCACCTCAGGTATGTGCCCGTGGAGCTGTCAGAGCTGAGAGACTGACCAGAGCTTCGTCTAGTAGGGCAGACCGACCTTGACCTTCGGACTGGTCGCTTCCTGTGGGTTATTTATAGAACAAAAGGCTGTTTTGAGATAAAAAGGTTTTTTGCTTCATTGAAGTCAAACTTGTATTGAGACATTGTAACTGCAGTATAGATTTAACCCCATCCGTACGTCGTGTTTTACTATCGTATCCATACGACGTGGGGAACTCTGTGCCACCACTTTCCAAAGAGGAAAGTTACTCGTTAATCCGGTCCGTACGCTTTGCGTAGTAGTCTACCAAATGATTTCTTAAGAAACACTGAAAGTTTCAAAGAGATATTCGTAATGTAAAGAACACAACCCCGGGGGTACAAAATGACACCAGGGCGTATGGATAGGGTTAATGCCACTTTCAAAACCGCAGGGATAGCTATCGAGACGGGACTTTCCGAATTTGACGTCCATGGGACTAAGCCAAATGGATGCAGACTTAATTCTTAATTCTACACGGATTCTTTTTACCACTTGATATGTTATAACTTATGGCAATAATATATGATGTTATTTATGGCTACTGCTGCTTGTGTGGTGGTGAAAGCGATACTGGTGATGATACTGATGATGATGATGATGATGATGGTGATGATGATGATGATGATTATGATATTGTGTGATGTGACTTCTGGCGGAAATATTGATGATGTTGTTGTTGTTGTTGCTGTTGCTGTTGCTGTTGCTGTTGTTATTGCTGTTGTTGTTGCTGCAGCAGCTGTTGTTGCTGCAGCAGCTACTGCTGCTCCTGCTTCCAGTCAGTTACATGGGCAATGTGCCACCTATGCACGGAGACCTGAACAAGTAGATGAGAAACAACATCACGACACCTTGTTCTATGACTCTCTAAAGTAATTCTCGGTGACCTTAATGACATCCGTGTCCTTGACCCTTTCCTCCTGAGGGCAGACTTGGAGCGACCTCTGGCCACAGATCTCTGCGTCTTCCTCCCGCGCTTCGTCCGCGAGCAGGGGCGGTGCTGGATGGGGGAGGAGTGGCGGGAACGTGGACCGCACGGCTGTACCGCTCCTATGTCCTGGGGGGAATAGATTTACTAGATCTATAATAATATATACTAATTGCATTTCTATATCGCGGATCCACACTTTACAGCGCGCTCTGTACGCTTTACAGCTATCATTACCTCAGAGTACCTAGAGCACTCAGAAACATTCTCGGATTCTTCCAGGGAACCATTACAGTGCAAGCTGAGGATTTCACGCACCCAAACACTAACCAACTGGCAAGATCTTTCGCTGTCTATAGCCGGGTACCCATTCCCACCTCGGCCAAGTGAGAAAAATTCGTGTAAAGTACATGTCCCAAGGGCACTTGACTGGATTCGAACCTTACGGTAGCAAACCCACGAGCTTAGCCACTAGGCCACCGACACCGCAATATACAATATCATTATACTATAATAATAAATAATATAGAATTGGGCACGGATAACTCAAACACGTTCTGGGTTGAAACATGTTTTTAAGAAACATCCGTTATTCGTATTAACCGACAACGAAAAATTAAAGAGATATCAGTCAGGAATGAAAAATTGTACAAGCTATCAGTGGTTTCGATTTTCCCTTGCTCGTGTTTTCTGTGCCTGACTGGCTTGTTAGGGTTGTTAAAAAATTGTTAAGTGTTTTACGGCGCTCGCAACTGCATAAGGTCATATGAGCTCGCGGGACACATTAAACATTTTTAGTTGATAAGAATTTTTTTTTATAATTTTGCCCGTGGGTGGCCGAAGCCTACTCTTATCGATTTTGGACCACCAAGGGATCTTGAAAGTGCGCAACTTGCACACGGGACCTCCGGTATTTTTAGCCCTTGTCTGAGAAGGCTAGGTGTTCGATCTTACCTACCCTAAGATCAGGGGTGTGGCTGAAAGACAGCACTGAGAAGGACCCAAGGAGTAGCAGTAGAAAGGCTGTAGTAGTAGTAGTAAGAGTCAGGAGCTCAGAGGTGGGTACAAAGGAGGTGATGGGGTGGGGGCAGAAAGTGGAGATGAAAGCAGACATTAAGACATTGAACAGAAAAGGAGGTGAAAGGAAAACATTTTTTAAAAATAAGAACATTTTCCATCGCCTGTCAGGGACCTATTGAATGAGAGGTGAACACCGTAACCTCTCGACCACGAAAGCCCCGTGCCTGCGTGCAGCAAACTCAACTCTTTGAATAAGGGCATATCGGGCACATAATGTTATGTTCGATCAAAGATAGTACATAACAAGATGGTCCACTCAGCCAAAAAAATTGTCCGCCTGGAAGTCCGCTCTTTGCTTCAGATGGCGCTGCAGTCGGTTTTGAAGCTCTCTTTCGTTTCTCCAGAAGAAGAATGGGAATAGCACCTCCTTGCGTGCGCAGATCGACTGTTCGGGTTCGTTCAGTGCGGAGTTTTAGGGTTTAAAAAAAATTAAATGACTTCTCGCCTCTCATTCTAAAGTCAAATTAAACGAAGAAAACAGTCGCCCCTTCCTCAGGAAGAGGTTTTTTTGCCAGCGTAACCATTTCAAAAAAGCGTTCTTCCGAAATTTGAATTTTTATTTATTAAAAAACGTGTTAGTTTCACTTTGGTTTTTTTTAAAACACAAGTAGGGTAACTCTGTTCACAAAGGGTGCGCATTTGCGAAGAGGGCGTCACCGAATTTTGAGGACACTTTTTTTAATTGGCTCAAAGAGAGGAGTGGACCCTCTTGTTGTGTAGACTCTTTGGTTCGATCAGCAGCAGACCAAACGCAATGTTGCACACTTATTGAACTATCGTGTACAAATTATATGAAACTCGCATTTATCTACATTGTGTTTTAAAGTAAAGAAAGCGTGATGTTGTAAGCCTTTTAGAGTTTCAGATAAAGTAAATGAAATTTAAAAATCTTTACGAAAATGGTGAAATGGTATACGTTAAACGCCACTTTCAACGCGATTAAGTTATTTCAGAGGCGGGACCTCCGAGTTTAAACTAACTCGTGTAAAGTACCTTTCTTTAGGTGCCCATTGGGGGATCGGGTCGGGTCTGTTTGCTAGTCAGATTGATTGCGCAAAGCAGCTATCGTGGGACAGCCCGATCGCACCTGACTCATCGCCTCAAGAACAAACGCGTTTGATTTCAGGCGAAGTGTTGGGCGATCGACCCGACCCGACCCGACCCGACGCTATCTGCAAAGGGCACCTGGTAAAAGAAAATAAAGACAGTCTAACTCTGACATTGACGCTGGCCCAATAGACCACGACCTGTCTGTTTGTGAAAGATTTTTCTTTAAAAAAAAAAAAAGGATAGCCCTTGAAGGTCACAAGCGAAGGCATCGAAAGTTAAACCATCTAACCATATTTGCTTATGCAGATGAGCACACTGCTCTTGGAGAAGGAACGCTGCGCTACCATCAGCGACGATTGTATCGTTTGTTTAGGTTGGTTTCAGTAAGAGTTTTACGGCATTCACAACACAATTAGGCCGCATAAGTGCCGAACATTAGAGGTGTTACAAAGCAGTAACAAACACAAAGAGAAGGAGGGGAGATAAGGATGGTAGATGTTTGATGGGAAAGAAGGAGCAAACCACATCATATCACCCACTAATATCATGTGACGTTTGTGATCATTGGCCCACAACATGGGTGTTATAATTTCCATTCATACTCTCTCTCTCTCTCTCTCTCTCTCTCTCTCTCTCTCTCTCTCCTTC